GAATAAAAATGGAATCATACAGTGCTTTTCCTTGTGGGGAACTGTAATGTTTTTAAACAAATAGCAATACTCCTTTAAGAAACAGTGCCCTGAAATGTTCACATCACAGAAATGGCCTCCCCAGCCCTCTCTTATTCTCCCTGGGTGCTGGAGATCCCTCTCTCTATTGCCAACAATTTCAAATAATGAATCAAGAAGAGGCCCATGAAGACTCTGATTTACCTGGATCTGTGTGACCCCTAATCCTGGTGAGGAAATCAAGTCACTGTGGTGCCTCTTAGAATATAGATTGCAAGGCTCCCCGTCTGACCAGCAAAGAAGACGCTCCCACGACGGAGTACATGTTCTGTTTATAAAAATTCTTTCGCACGTGAATTTTATGTAGCCAGAAAAGCACTTTCAGTATCACCAATATTGAACAACAGTTTCCAGCCTTGCTTTTAAGCCCTGAATCCTTTCTTGAGACGGTATTTCTCACGGGGTGCCATTTTTCAACAGAAGTGCAGAACTGTTCCGTCTGATGGAGGGGAGATGGGGTCAGGAGTGCTTGCAGCTCACCTTCCTCTGCAACTCCTGCTCTTCCATCTCGCAGCCATAAGGCTTCTTGAGAAAAGCTTGCAAATTAATGTACTGAAAAATATGATGCAGCTTTCCTTTTTCTACTTGCATGTGATACATGAAAAGTGGCCCCATTGCCACTAGAAAATACCCACCTCAAGTTCCTGCATCCTGTGAATGTTACCTTATTTGAAAACAAAAAAAAAGGCCTTTGAGAGTGTGATTATGTTAAGGATTTTGAGAGGAGTACATCACTCTGGATTATTCCTATTGGCCCTGAGTGCCATCACAATTGTCCTTAAAGAGGGAGAAGAGGGCAATTCTAGACAGAAGAAGAGAAGAAACAGACAGAGGATATCCTCTCCTCACGCAGAGGATAAGGCAAAGTGAAGACAAAGACCGAGATTGGAGTGACATCACCACACACCAGGAAAGCTGGGGCACCCACCAAGAGCTGGAACAGACAAGGAACTGATTCTTCTCTATAGCCCCTAGAGAGACCATAGTCCTGCTAAGATTTTGGTCTTGTAGTATTCAGAATTGTGAGAAAATTAATTTCTGTTATTTTCCGTTAGTGGTAACTTGTTGCAGCAGCTGCAGGGAACTAATCTACTGTACAATTAAAAAACAATTTTCAAAGGTGCAAAAAAAATTCTGTAGCTTCTCTACGAAAATGGTGGTTGATTAGTATCATTCCTTCCCTAGGCAGAAAATCAGGCCAAAACTAACGTCTAGGATAAGCACCCAGATAGAATCAGAAAGCTTTCCCTTTCTTTCCTCCTTGGGGGAAATAATAAATCTCTGTCATTTCAGGTAGTTTGATTGTCAAGTTTTCCTCTACCCACTTATGTTTTGGGGAAACTCTTATGAGTGAAGATTCAGTTTCAAAGTACAAGCCCTCTTTCCAGTCAAATTTTCCTCTGCAAAGACTGTATTTTGTTTCTGAGCTACTCATCCATTTACATAAATTCTGTCTTGGGGGGGAAGGAAATGTAAATGTCTTGGAAAAAAGGACTGTCTGCAATGAGAGATAATGTACCTTTTTATTTTGTGGAAATTAAGCTATTACTGAGTCCATATAATATAAATATTTAAGCCATTAAGCAGCATTTTATGCAAATCAAATGAGAAAGAAACATCACTTGCAGAAAAATAAATTTTCTTTCATGAAAGTAGCATGACCACTTCTTGACTGTTGTTGTATACAGAAAAATCAGTAGGATGGCGTGTGCTATAACTCTCAAAAAACAAACTCTGTTAACTATTGTAAGTCTTAATAATTCCTTGTGTTTGTGTAGTGCTTTACAGTTGGCAAAATGCTTTTATATTCAGTCTCTCTCACGTCAATCTTGCAAGAAGCTAAAACAGGGATCACCAGTTGGTATAGGTTGAATTCTGTCTCTCCTGTTCCCTCCCCAGCCTCACCAATTCACAAATCAAAGCCCTAAACCACAGGACCTCAGCAAGTCACTTTATTCAGAAATAGATTCACTGCAGATGTCATTAGTTAAGATGAGGTCATATTGGGGTAGGATGGCATGTGATTGTAGGGAAGAGACCCTCAAGGCTACCTTAAGGATCCAAGAGTTCATCATATTGATTCATGGGTGAATAGAGGAGACAAGAACATTGGCCATGAACTTGACCCTCTCAGAGATTTTGATATGGTGTGAGTACTGGAGGGATCTAGCACTTCTCTGACATTACACTGTCCATCAGCAGAGTGGATTCCTTGATTCCTACTCCTATCCTCTGCTCCTTCTTCTCTCTGATTCTGTAGCTCGTGCCCCTTGGCAACCATAAGCTCATTTTCCAAGTCCATGAGTATGTTTCTGTTTTGTAAATAAATTCCTTTATATCATTGCTTTTTAAATTCTGCATACAAAGGCTCTTGTGATGTTTCTGCTTCTCTGTCTGACTTACTTCACTCAGTATGACAATTTCTAAGTCTATCCATGTTGCTGCACGTGGCATTATTTCATTCTTTATAATGACTGAGTAATATGCCAGTATATACATGTACCACATCTTCTTTATTAATTCCTCTGTTGATGTTAAAACTGTTTTGATAAGGCTGGAGAATGTCTAATTTCCAAAGACAACCCAAGAAGGAGGGGTTATAGAATCATATAGTTTGTTCCTCATATGACTGTATGAGAGAGATACCATTGTTATTCTCGTATAAAAATAGAAGACTGTGCACAGAAAAGTGTAGTTAACCTCCTAAGGCCACACAGTTAACTAGTGACAGGGGTGGAATTGAAGCAATTCTATTTGATGACAAAACTTGTACTTTTAACCATTAGGCTATACCCTTAGAAACATTTGCTTTTCAGTATGTACCCAATGAAATAAGATAAAATAAACCTTTAATATCTCCAGTTAAATTTCTGCTTGGTTAAAATAATCCAACTTGCCTCTTGTATTTCTAAGTGGTTAGTGTGGTTTGTAGCAATACGGCCAGCACAGTGAACCAGCAGAGCATCGTCATCAGGAAGGCCAGAGCTCAGGAGGAAGGCCACAGCGCTCACCTGCTGCCTCTGCCATGGTGGAGTGTAACAGGAACAACAAAATAATAGCATCTCAACAGAGCTGCTTTCAGACAGGCTTATGTTTTTGGCTTAGACTTGACTTTGTAATATCTTATGACTAAGAGAGAAAGGTAGAAAGTTATGCTGTTTTTGAGATAATACAGTAACCTAGAAAGGCTGAGAGATTTGCGGGGAAACTACCAACCAAAAGTAGGAAACAGATTTTGTTTAGAAAGCTTAAGCATATGTTTTAAATTTGGGCTGGGGAGCCTATTGCTCCTGTGGACTTGTTAGTTAATTTGAAGCTTCTTGACAGATTTACATTCCTCAGGTCGATGGTAGGGATGGATTGAGTGTCACATTCCTTTTGCAGAGGAGATCATGTATTGGGCTCAAAAACTCACAAAAATAGCTTTTAATTTGCTTCCCCTGTAAGCGGATTATATAGAATTTGATTTTCACGTCCTGAAGATCTTACCTCTATCCCAGCCACTGTTACAAGAGCTGTCAGAGGATGGGGACTGCTTGTGTTCTGCAGAGCCAAATAACCATGTTTCCTTTCAATTTAACAGCAGCACAAGGCAGGAGCACTTTCTCTAGATATGTCCTGTGTGCTTAGTCACTCAGTTGTGTCCAAATCTTTGCGACCCTATACTTTGCTTTAAATCCTGAGAAACCTGGAGACATTACCCACCTACCCGACTTTGAAAATAGAGGATTCCTGTGGGGTGTTTATTTCTATCATAATCACAAGATGAACTGATAGTGCCTGAGCTGAGATAGAAGAAACAAATAGAACCATTTCCAAATGCTTTTGCAATGAATACAGCTACACAGTCTTAAGAAAGCAAAACTAGTCAAATTATGTGTGATTTTTCTAAAAAATAAGCCGTCTTTATAGGCAATGCAGTCTGGAAACGTAAGCTGTAGAAAGCCATATATATGTGTGTGTGCGTGTGCGTGTATGTGATTGTTGTTTAGGTGTCTGTCTTCAAAGGCTGCAATTATCTGACAATGCTTGCTTAAATTCTTCAGAGGATTTTTACTATAGTGTATAACAAATGATGGAGGAGAAGAATAAATCTAGCCAACCGTTGTGCAGTTCCAGATGCAGTCTGAACACTGCCCAGGGTTCTTATGATGAAAAACATTAATTTCCCTTAGTTCCTAGAAGGGTTTTGGAACATAGGTATTTATTCCCAGCTCTTTGGGGGATGCATTTTTCTTTATTTATTGTATTCATAAAGCCACTTGGTCCCATTTAACTTCAGGATACACTAATATCATTTAAATATATCCAGAATTAATAACCATTTAAAAATCCTGTAAAACCTAAGTTTTTCATTGTCTTTGTGTCCTTCAAAAGGAAACATAGTCAGGAAGGCAGGATAGAAAGTAAGAAGAGGAAATGAAAGGCAGATCAAACTTAACTGGCCAGTGCAGTAGCTTGAATGCCAGTTTTTTCTTCTCTTACTTCATAAATGACCAGTGTTGCAAGGTAGTGTCTTTGAAAGACAGTGGTTGGTCATGAAATATTTGACTTTTTTTTGAAAATGTTGGAGGAAGAAACCTACAAATTTAGCAATAATGACCATAGCATTAACTATTATTTAGGTATAGTACTTTGGAAACTACAAGGCAAGTATCATACAGTTACACTCTAGTGGCTCTTGGGATTTCTCAGATAAGATGTGACCAGAGATTGGGGTGGGAAGAAGAGACAGGGAGAGGAGCAGAGTGGCCTTCCACTTATATTAACTGCTTGTTCATTCCTTGATTTCAATCATGGTTCTTTCACTATTGGTTGTTAACTTTTAAAGTGAAGAATCGGGGAAATAAATAAAAGCTATGAACCCTTTCCTTAGAAAAGTAAATACACAAAAAAAACCAAAGCTCTATCTTTATTTTCAGAAGGTTAGTTGATGCCATGGACCTGCCAGCCGTGGACCTGCCTTAGAGAATTTGGTCTGCTGGTACGAGCTGGACGCCGCAGAGCAGTGAGGGGGTAGTGGGCAGAGCTCTTGCGCTCATGTTTACCACTGCGTGCCTGATGTGCAGCACTTTGGCAGGTATGTAGTAGGTGTTTAATGAGCACATATTTAATGAATGTGCCAAATTAGACTTTGAATTTCTGTGATGTGCCTTTCCACCAAGCATCTCAAAATGTTAATGTGGTCATTTCTTTATTATTTAAGTTTTAGTTTTAACTAGGAGAATATCAGTAGGAAATATTCATTTTGGGTCAGTCCTTTATTTTCCTCCTGTGCTCTCTTACTTCTAACCAAATGCGTACCTAGAGAAAACAACTGGTTCTATTATCTGTAAGTAGCTTTGTGAAATCTTGTCTTTGCGAAAATGGAGCTTCTCACTTAACACCTTCTCTCCCATTCCCTCTGGGATATTGGAGAAAGTGATACAATATACATGTGAGTTTTCTTTAAATAGGATCAAGTCTTTCCCAAAGCATTTAATTTGTGGTTGACGTGATTCCAGGGATAAGGGTCCCATCTGTTGATCATAGTGAGAGAGATGCTATGAAGGTACTTAGTGACAAGGTGATGTTTTAGGGCAACATTTTATAATGAGACTTTCTCAGGCAGAACAGCAAAAGTAATAAATTGGAGTGGCTACTTTTCTGCCTGATATTGAACATCCCTCCTACACACACATTTCCTTCTCTTCATGTGCCTTTTTCCCCCACTATGTCATCATCATCATTCCAAACTGATTAGTCCAGATTTCCTCATCAGGAGAATGATGTTCACCCCTGTCTTGCCCAGGACACTCTGTAGTTTTGCATCACCTGTAGTTTGAAGATTTAGAAATTTAAGCTTCTCTCTGCCTTCAGGGATGCTGCTTAAATAATTACAAATGTACAACTGTTGTTTTTAAAAGAATAACGTGTTCCAATAAATCACCACACCTTTGTCTCTTCCTTGTTCTGTCATGTAATTAAAGACGTTTGTCCCAATGTAAGACAGATTAAGGTTTAAATATACCAGCTGTATGTTCATAAGTTCTTGCTCTCCTGATCTTCAGTGTTCTTATTTGTGAGAGGGGGTAAATAGTATATTCATAGGGTTATCGTAAAGCTTAGGTAAGAAAATGTATCTACAGCACATAGTGTTGTGACTGAACATAAGAAAGAGCTCTTGTTATTGACCCTGGTGAGTTTGTTTGTTGAAGAAGCTGTCCTGAGAGAGCTAGTCTGGCCCAGGTTGAGGGCGAGCCCTGTGGTCTAATGCAAGGGGATTTCCTCCTGGGGACTCCTTCTGGGGCTGCGAGTAAGAGGGAGGGGGGCTAAGCTGTCTGCCAGTGCTCACAGTCTGATGCTCAGGATACTTTGGGGCTTTCTTTCTTCCTGGGTCAGGATGGGCAGAAGCCTCGTCAAGGACTGAATTTCTCAGTATCCAGGAATCTAATGAAATAAGTCATTTGTTAAACGGAATTTACCAAGAGCTCCAGCGCTCTCTGCCTAACCTCTGATAAAAGACACCAGGAAGGCAGCTCTCCATGGCCTCTGCCAGGTTCACACAATTCTGTTGGCCTCAGAGACTCTTTGCTGGCAGTCTAGTGCTTCTCTACTAGACAGATTGCTGTATCAGAAGTTCTTAACCAATCTCCTTCTACCCATTTGATCTACCAGAGCTTTCTATTCCTACTGTAAAACGGTGCCTAAGGCCTGAAGAATGCAGATCACTCCCTTCTAGTGGGCTGCTCTCTGCTTCATCCTGGTTCTTCTCTTCCCAGCAGAGCAGTTGTCTACTTGCCAAGAGTCAGCTGTGTTGCGGCCCATATCTATTGATGCCAGTTCTGTTTGTTATGTAATTACATATTTCAATTAAATGTTTCACAACTGATTTAATATAAGTTCAGAAAGAGAGTTGTTGACTCAGTGAATGTTTTGGAAACAGTAAGGTTGAGTTGCTAAAAGTGCTGTGGAATTAGATGTGGGTGAGACAACTCGAAAAACCTTGGGGGCGGAGGGAATCATAAAATCTAGAGGAGCCTACACTGAGATTGTTTCACAAAGGTCTTTACTTTCTCACTCTGCTTTATGGAAAGTAAACCTGGAAATCCTAGTAGATGACGCACTATTTGAGTTGTTTATGCAGGAGAGGTGGTGTGAACTCTGATCCTGTACTATTTTAAAAGTCAGCCAGAGCCACCAGAACTTGCCCTAAATCCAGAGCTTAGACGTGCATCTGATTTGTTCCTTTAAATTGCAATTCCTTTAAATATAAGGTATATGTGCATCGTTTTAAAGGATTTCACAGTTTAACCTGTATTTTTTTTATCAATTGACCCACCACCTGTCTGTTCACAATGGATAACAGTAGAGGATTTCTGCTGTCTAAAGTTCCTACCATGATACATGATGCATCTGCTATCCACAGCACAAACTCTCTTGGGAACAGCCAATGATGACAGTGCGTTGAGCAGGTGTTTTTGAGCTCACTCTCTGAAGTAGGCACCTAGGGCTGATGGTGTATTCCATGGCCAAAGAAAATATATGTGACTGCCTACCCATACTAACTAGTGTTTGATAGGTAATTTTTCATACACTGCCTTACTCAATCTCCAAGTAACCCTTGGGAGGCAGGAATTATCATTGCTTTATAGATGGGGCTGCTGAGGTTCAGAAGAGTTAGATGACTTGGGCTAAAGACACACACCAAGCAGAGACATGTCTAAGACAAGCCCTAGGCTCTACGGCCTGTGATTGACCCATCGAGACTGGTTTGCCTGTTGATTTGAATGGCAGGGCTTCCCAGGTGGCACGGTGGTAAAGCACCCTCCTGCCAATGCAAGAGATGCAAGAGACACATGTTCAACTCTTGGGTCAGGAAGATCCCTTGGAGTAGGAAATAGCAACTCATTCCAGTATTCTTGCCTGGAAAATGCCAGAAGAGTCTGGCAGTCCATGGCATCAAAAAGAGTTGGACATGACTGAGCACATGCACACACATTAACTGATCTGCTCAGTATTGAGATCTGGGTCCTGATGCTGCTAGTTTCAACCTAAAATACGGTTCTCACATTCTTTAGCATCTGGTGAGTTGGACTAGTTTTAGACAAGGAACTTGGGGCCAACCATGCTCTGAGCTTCTAGGTCAGGGCTTTGTGGGAGCAACAAATCTCTGATGAGCCCCATAGCCCCCTGCTGTCATGCTGGCCATGCTGCAGGTGGTCTGTGAGCGAGAGGACACTCTGAAACATTCGAAGTGAGCCACCAGGGCGAGAGGGGACAGCTTTTGGCAACACAAGTCATCTGTATTGTTGCAGCACCTGCTCCCTTTGGTGCAAAATAAGGGTCTATCAGAATTTCCATTATTTCCCCTATTCAGTGGGAGAGCCATTTGGCCAACTCTTTTCCCTCTGGTCTATAATTTGGGACATGGTATGTCAGCTCAGCTAGCACTGCTTTATTATTAAAGTTGTTGTTGGCCATTTTGAGTTAGTATTGACCCAAAGGCACATGTATGTTTTTTGTTCTCCAGATTACTTATGAAAAAGCACAGGAGAGAGGGCCTGGCTTTTGATAAAAGTCAGGGAAAAAACAAAACACCTTGGCAGTTTAAATCAGTGTTTTGTTAAATTTTCTCTGTAATCCATCATTATTGGAATTACCAGAGGAGTTTATTAATTACATGTTTCTGAACTTTGCCCCAGATCTACTCAATCTGATGTTATAGAAATTTAACCTAAAATCAAAATTCTGAGAGCCACTGATTTAAATAAATTACATGGTGCAGTGAGCATCTGTGTAAATTTCCTAGGCTGCTATAACGGAGTACCTCAAACTAGGTGGTGTTAGCAATAAACATTTATTCTTGGACGGTTCTGGGGGCCAGGAGATTGTGTCAGCAGGGCTATGCTCTCTCTGCAGGCTCCAGGGGAGCCTTTATCTTAGTTTCTGGTGTTGTAGGTAACCCTTGAAATTCTTGGACGTGTAGATGAATCACTCTAATCTGCTTCCATTTTGCATGGTGTTCTTTCTGTTATCTCCTCTGTTTGTAAGGATGTCAGTCACATCGCATCAGAGCCCCCTTCCCCCCATCAAGTGTGACCCCATCTTAATTTGGTTACATCTACAAAGACCCTATTTCCAAGTAAGGTCACCCTCACAGTTACTGGGGGTTTGGACTAAATATATCTTTTTAGGATAAATAATTCAATCCACAACAACTTCCTACATGTTTGCTGACAGGACCTTTTCTCAGTGGAAACAAGGCATACTTTACATCCTAATGTGAAAAATGTGTAGTAGGATTTATGATTATGAGAAATAAGCATTCAACTCAAATTTTTTATTTCACAATAACCATTTGAAATTCCAAAACCATACTTAACGTAACCATACATGAACCATAGTTAATGTAACCATACTTTTAGTCATCAAATCTCCTTCATGTAGAGAACTCTTGACTTTATTTTTCTTTTAAATAATAATTTTTCTGCTAGCAATATAGTAGCGACTTTCTCTTATTTTGTAACTTATTGTAAGGAAAGACATTCTTTCATTATTAGTTTCATTCACTTTTTCATCCAAAAGTATGTTTAATACTATCTCCTATATTCCAGGTGCTATTTTAGTCCTTGAACATATAAAAACAAATGATACTTAAGATTTTATATTATAACATTAAAATATTATTTTTTCTTGTTAGAAATTTTATTTTTTTCCATTGCAAGTATGCATTTATTAATGTCATATTTTATGTTCACATTTTTTCTAGCTTTATTAATTTTTTAAGTTGAACATATACAAAGTATTGATTTGGTACACTTATGTATTGTAAAATGATCACCACCACAGGCTTTAGCTGACACCTCCATCATGTCATATAATTGCTATGAATGTTGAAGATCTACCCTCTTAGTAGTTTCAAGTGTATAAAACATTATTATTAACTATAGTCAACATGCTGTACATCCAGTTCTCAGAACTTATTCATCTTAGAACTAGGAGTTTGCGACCTTTGACCAACATCTCATTATTTCTTCCAGTCCACAGCCACTTTAGTAACTAGCACTCTACACTCTGATTCTATCAGTTTGCTTAAGC